ACTGAGACATAGAAAAACTATTCTTTATTGACCTTGCTTGTTGTCCTCAGTGACAAAAAATATATTTATGTATTAAGTGAACAGTATGACTTCAGTCATCACTAACTTTTAATTGAAAATCTTCAAAGTAAAAACAACTCAAAGAGCTGCTTTCATTTTTTTGAACATCAAGTGAACAGCCCAATGACTTTTTTTACTAGCAAACATCCCTGTCCTCAGCTGCACATACACAACTCCCACAGCGGGCACTGAGAAACGTGTACAAGTGCGTGAGGCCTGGGTCAGAACAAAGAGTGCCCTGCATGGGAGGCAGGTCTTTGGCATTTGGTGGGGTGATTTTTTTTTTGGGATTTTTGTACTAAACAACAGAGTATTTACTATGGAAGTACGGGTGCTTTTCATTTCTACAAATGTTTTGGAAAGTTAAGTAATATTTTGTTTTATATGGTTGCAGTGGGAAGCAAATTAGAAGATTCAGAAGAACCTACACCAGATCACTCGGGATCTCCTTTAGTTCTTTCACCATCACCACAAAACACTGAGATCAAGGACTGAACTCTGTGTGGAACTAATTTAGAAACTCTCTTAGCATTACAGTTTTACTTTGACGCGTGAGGTGTTGTAAATCAAAGTGACTTTACATAAGGACTTGGCCTGCCAGAGCGAATTCTGTCCTATGTGAGGACAATTCTGTTAAAACAGACAGGATTGTCTGCACTGGGCCAAAATTTTCACGCCCATGTTCAGCTGATGTTCTGAGTCCTAGAGCTAAGGTTCTGATGGAGACAAAACTCCAGAGGAAATAAATGGGGTTACATCCAGGTGCAGGCTAAGTGTTAAAACCAAGGCAAAAGTCTTGTTTTGGTATAAACAGCTTCTGCAGAGCTGTGGCAGTTTGCGCCACTCTGTTCCTAGTGGTCTAGTTTTCAAAGTGGCTGTGCCTTTGCCGAGTCCAGGGAAGGCAGTGAGAGTGTTGGGTGCTCGGCCTTTCTGCAGGGGACAAAAGTTCAAAGGGTCTTTTGTTGTCACTTAATCCATGTGCCAAGAAAGTCTAAAATTAAGATCCCAGAACAGCATTTGTCACGATCTTTCAGAGTTGTACTTTCTTATAAAAAGGGCAAGCAAATTAAAAAACGGACCTGGCCCTCAGATGAAGAACCCCTTGTTATTCTCCAATTCACTCCTGTGAGGCACAGTCCTATATTTTGAATTTCCCAGTTAGAGATGGATAGAATGATTAGAATTAGATCAGAACTGCAAATAAATCCAGCAAAGATCTATTTGGTTTGAATAAACCATGGTAAAACATGGGTACCTTCTAACTCTTGATGTCTTCCAATATGTATTTTTTTTTTCCGTGACCTAAGCTTTGCCTTCGTTGTTATAGTGACACCTACCCCAGGGCTGTTAGATAGTATTTTATGATGCTGGTTGTTGATCCAGGCCAGGAACACCAAACCATACAAAAGCACAGATATGTAGGTGTCAGAAAACATCAGGATGGTCCTGACCCCTTCCTTTCACCAGCGCTAGCCCCTGTCTGCTCAAAAACTGAGTCAGTTCAGGAAACTGCTGAGGCAGCTGAAAACAAAAAGTATCATTATTACCGTAGTGTTGGTTGCTCAGCCCCTTACCCGGCTCACCGGGGCTCTGGGAGGTGCCAGAGCTGGTAGCAACAAGTGTGGAGAGGCAGCCTGAGCCTTTAGGAGCCAGTGTCCTTTAGTTAGCTTGGCTTTAATGCTGTCTGTACAGTGGGAGTGCAAAAATTTTGTGTCGATTTTAACACCAAGTTAACACAAACGTTGTAAGTAAATAGTAAAGCCTTTATTCTCGTTAAGAACAGCATTTTGAAAATAAAACATTTGCCCATGCTTTACAACCTTTGTAGTTTTGTATACTTATGTACAGTCTTCATGGTACACATTGATTGTCTTGAAAATCCTTCAAAGATGTACTTAATATGCAACAATCAGCGGAAAAAAAGGGTACGTTATAAAACACACATTAATACATTTAATAAATATATATTATCTATCAAAAATGAGCTTTAGCTCTCATCAATTAATAAAAAGCACCTGCTTTGTAATCCTGTAAGCTGGTAGAATAGTCCAATTGTTTTATTATAAAAGCTACAATGCTCCCTTTTTTACAGCCTTTGGTTAGACCCAAGACATCCAGCTCAAACAAAGCCAACCAAGATGCCTGTGTTTACACTAAAAACAGCTAATTCTATAATACTTCATGTACCTTGTTTATAGAAACAACTGTGTGGATCCAGAGTGCCACCTGCAAGATGCTACATGCTTCCTGGCATGTGCCAAAGACCCTGAACTCTCTTGAAAGCAGGACAGGGTCTGGACATTATGGCCCTGAACAATTCCTAGCCATTGAGCAAAAGCCACTTATTAAAAATTTATTTTGGTAACGATATTTTCAGAAGCTTTAGGATTTCAGTTTTTCCTGTATGGATATACCATGAGGAAATGACTATCAAGGGACAACATAGTAGCTTTTATAGCATAAAAGCTAATTATAATTAAACTGAACTGTGAAAGGCTTGTGCTTACACATACTTATGTTGTTCACAGATGCTCTACATTCTAGATAACTTTCATAAAAGGCAAAAGTAAACAATTTGTTTACTGTAACAGAAATATAAGTTAACGTAAAAGTGCCTTTCTTCAATTACATTTTAATCAGGGCATTTTACATCACAGACTAGTGACTGACAGAAAAGTTGCCTATTACTAATTGTATGAAATTATAAAATAAGGACCCTCCTAATCTATTGCCACACTTTCACCACCACAAATTAAGCCCAATCCTGCTAATTTTTTATTTGCAAATAGTCCACATGACTACCCAGTGAGACTAGTCACATGAGTGAGTTTTTAGGATCTGGCCATGTCTTTGCATATGGCCTCAAATTCCAATTAGTTCATTAAGAGTAGGATTGGGAACTCTATCATTTCAGTCACATCTAGAAAAAGAACAAACATTTCTTAAGGTAACTCTATCTTGTACAGGTCTTGTCCACGGTCTGTAAAATGCATATAATTCATAATAATTCATAAATCTCAGCTGTAGTGTGATAATTTTTTTAAAGGAAAACTGTCCTACCATTTATGCCATGGTCATCTTATATGTTTTTACAATAGTTTTCTGAGACTTTATGCATTTATTTTAAAACAAACTTCTGCAGGCAAGTGATGATCAAGAGGTTTTATATTGTTCCAAATTATGCAACTTCTGGGTTATCGTAACATTATCATAACTACTACCTTATTTGATCATAACTTTAATTTTAACAAGCAAAATGTATTTCTAAGTCACTGATTTGCATGCAAGAGCCACCCCTACCCGACCTGATTACTTAGACCACCAAGTTACAAAACAAACAAAAATCCTTAGCACAAGCACATGCTTCCTTTGCCTTGAGGAGGGAAGGGCAGGGGGAACAACTGACACGGAGCTAACACGCTCCTTTCATCATGCATGACAGAAAAATATTGCTTCTGGAAGAGAAGGGCTTTGAATAAAAACCCCTATAAGATGATCATGGCAAGAATGGCAATATATAATTTTTTCATATATATAATACACGTATATATCTGTGTGCAACACCGAGGGACTGGTCGTGCAGCCTGTACTGCCAGGGTTAGACCTGCTGCTGCTCACGGGGCTACCCCGGGGGTACAGGGCTGCAGGACTCGGTTCCTAATTCAGTAGAAATGGAGGTATGTGAAGAATCAGGAAGACTCTTTAAAAAGCTTGTCTTTCTTTTGCAGAATACAGAAAGTAACTTCTTTCTGTGAAGCTACTATGCTATTCAGTTATTTGTACATTATATTTTTTCTTAGTTTGAAAATATATATTTTTATTACAGCATATGCAAAGTTTAATCCTTATATGTTTCCTATGCCCTCAAGTAAAAACAATTTGCTTTTAGTATTGAGGAAAGCTAAGATTAACATTGGCAAAACAGTGAAGATACAATGATGTTTTCAGTGTCTGATATGTATTAAATGTTAAATAAAGGAATGATTTGCTTAAACATAATGAAAACCATGGCACAAATAATGGGCAATGGGAACCTTTAAATAACCCGGTGAAAGCAAAGATAAAAAGCCTCGAGCAAGTCAGCCTTCTGTCAACTCAGAGGAGTGGAGGGGCAGGGGGGACAGGGAAGAAGCCACCTTAAAAACATAAAATAACAACAAACCACCTCCAGAACGGAGATTCTACCAGCTAGGCACCAAAATGCACAACCACATTTAAATGCACAAACAACTGCAGTCGTGGGACTACTCGTGAACAGGGAGGGAAACCGAGGGCTTGATCCTATATGCGGCCGAGTCCCTCCTGCGAGGCCGGTGCCATCCAGCTGCCCCCGCGCTGCTCCGCGGCAGAGCCCCGTCCTGCGCGGCACCGCGGGCTGCTCCGCTCCGCTCCGCCGGCACCGAGACCTCCCGGCGAGCTCCGGTCACCTCCTCTCCCCAGCTAAGTCCTTGCAAACGCGTGTCCCTCCAAAGATTCCTTGAACAGCTTCGTCCGCAGGAGCAGCGAGAACGCCCGGCTCCGCTCGCGCCCGGAGCCCCGGGGAAACGTCCCGCGCTGCGAGGAGCTCCGCCTGCTGCGCCCGCGCGCTGCCTCGGGAGGCTCCGGAGCTCGCATGGAACATGCATAGATTATTTCATCTCCCCAAAACTGCTTTTCTTACATGGTCTTTTTAAAGAGAAAAGAGTATCAATGTACAGTGTAACGGTAATTTAGTTGCCACAAAGTGGCAATGCTTAACTACAAGTGATGCTAAATGATGTTACAGTACAGATAGATAATGAAGCAAACAAGGTATATTTTCATGACATTTGAAATGGAGGGAAAAAGAGCAAAAGGGAAATAAATCCTGTATGTTTTCACATTGTAGTGGCAATCTCTTGTGACAACATGAATTAAATTTAGGTGAGAGGAGGGTGTTTTGCAAGCAACGGGCAACCAACAGAAAAGAGGAGGCTTGTCTCGCACGCTAGTTACAGACAGAGTATATCTTACATCTCAGAATACAAGATCCCCTCTTCCATTTTAGTGTGTCTGCTTCTATTTTAAATTAGATTCAGCTTCAGCTTTACAATTTGTTTTTGCATTTAGCTTATCAGTAAAGTGATGTTCACATTTACGTAAAATCCTCTGTAGGATTTCGAAAGCTCCTGGATGTTTTGCTGCTTTGTTCTGGTACTGTTATGGATTCCTCCCTCAAAGACACACTGCCAGGGAACAAAATCTGTAACAAAAATTCTTTTTTTCTAGAGCCTACAGCCTTTCACCAGAGGTGTCGTCCAGTGTAACTTGGCGGAGCAGTTGGTATCTGGAAACAAGGATAATAAACCCATAACTAGGAGATCTAGTCTGTTCAAACATCAGTGTTACCATACTACATGTGCATGAGAGCTTTCGAGCCAATTTTCTAGAGCAGAAAGATACAGTGTAACTCATCTTCAGCCGATACCGGACAGATGTACGTGCATCACCTGGGCACACATCAAAAGCATGAGCTTTTTAAGCTCTCATTTATGTACCAGCGTGCTCCAGGAAGCTCTGCGTCCACTTCAGTACAAAACACTGCTCCCTTCCCTCCCACCCACCAAGTCTCACGCGTCTCATCCTGAGCTGCCTGTTCTGTGATCTGCCTATTCTGGTATCAAAAAACATAGGCATAGATTAGTCCAAGCATCAAAAGGATGCTATTCATTACTGAAAGCAAAGCATGGAATTAGCTTATGATACAAAATAAAGAAAAGCCAACTTACATGAGTATAAACTGGCTCATGGGTAGATTTTTAAGAAGCATGTAGTTATGCATGAAGATTATGGGGATGAAAAATTCTTTTAACAGTGCAAGTGCTATATGCAATTTCTTCAAGTGTCAGTTAAATATACATCATGCAAAAAACAGAGGCTGCTGGGCATCAGAGCTCTAAGCCATTCTTGCTACAGGCTGCAGAAAAAGGGCTGTATCAAATGATGACATACCAAACTATTGTCTGAGAAAGAAAAAAAAATAACAAAATATTCTCTATTCTCCTTTCATGAATCTCTTTCCCAGAGAATTTATACATCTGTAACTTATAATGAATTACATCTGAGAAAAAACTGAAGATATGTGAAGGACAACCACAATCTGGAACCATGATTTTTATTCAAAGTAATGTACTGGCCTGAATACATTTGTGTCACTTGCAGAACCTTGAAAAAAATCTAGCTAGAAATTGTGTCACTTAATAGTTATGTTAGCAGCCTTAACATATATTTAATTCAAAAGAGGCTCTGAATATGTAGAGTCACCAAGGAACTTGGTTCACTGAAGTTACACTGCAAAACCTGAATAGACAAGTAAGGAAATGCAAAATATTTTATATTTGCATCGTTTCTAAAGAGGAAGGGAAGCATTACATGCATACTTGCGCCAGAGTTTTCATTTATAGCTTTGCCTCCTGCTATGAATAAGCTACATCAGAAGGTTTTTCAATTAGTACTGGCTGTATAGATCAGTACATGTCAAAGATTTCTTAAAGCATCACTTCTGATACTTACAGTCCCACCATTTAGCACAACTGCCATCTCAGTTGGCTGATAAACATTGCTTCTAAAAGGAGCACTGGGTCGGCTTCCCAAACTGCCGTTTCGAAATCCTGCCGTTCTTAGTGCTGCGTTTAAGAGAGAGAGATTAGTCTTATGAACACAATTAATACTCTGTATTTCCTTTAAAAATCACTAAAAGCATCTCGCTCCCAGTTTAGCTAGTGGGAACTTCACCATTGATTTTAGCTTTTACATTGTGTACCGGATTTGAAATGGCCTTTAAACTATGTAGCTGGGGATATATCTTAAAAGTATGAGTTCTACCTAAAATTAACTGTATACTATTGAAAGGGAAGAAATGTCTTCAAGCTAGATTTTTTTAATTTTTCTTATTCTGAATTCAACAGGAATTAAATGTCTTGAAGCACTGAGTCCTTGATGCATCTTGCACAATATATTTTGTGCAATGCCTGCTTCATCGGTCAGGATATTGTGGGGTTAAGTAAAATGATACTACGTTTTGCTTTCTATCAAATTCAGAGGCCTGAGATCCAAAGTACTGCTTGAGCCAGTAAGCATACTCACAGCCCCCTGAGCATTACTTCAGCATGACTGAAGTAATGAAGCAATGAGGCTTTTCCAGATGTTTCAGATTATATTTACTCTGAGAAACTAGAAATATGAAGTAAACTTTCTTTCTGAATAGCTTAAAGATGGAAGTTGATGGAAACAAAAGCAGAGATACTGTCCTTCTGAATGTTTGTACCAGAAATACATCAGCCTCCATTAACTTCAGAGGAAGTTTGGACTCAAAATGTATATTTGAAACGAGAGATAGGCATAGTTAAGGATTTGATTCTTTCTCCCTAAACCAGTCAGGGAATTGGGGCATACTTTCTTTTTACTTTAAGGATAACTAGTGGCTTCATATCTTGCCAGCTAAGCAATCTCATTTATATGTGCAACTTGAGTGTTTACAATTTCCATACTAGGGAAATACATCTATGAATTGGTAAACAGAAACCTGCCTGGTTCAGGCACCTGGGGCAAGAATCTCTCAGAGGTCTAATTCGAATTACAGTTCTGCACACTCTGGCTGAAATTCTAGACCAACTGAGGTTTACAAGAATTTCGTTGTAGGCTTTAACAAAGCGAGGATTTAATACTGCTGCAGTGTGCACAACAAGATTTAGATGGATCCTACTGCCATATGCTGTCCTCTGTCCATCGCTACGCTGCTCACTGGGGACTGTGCACAGAGAACACTATTGATTTAGATATGTTCCACTGGTTTTCTTCACGTACATACGTAACCTTAGCTCCTCTGGGTTTTTAAATCTTTTTATAAGAACATTTGGAGAAGAAAAAGGAAAACCTCAGTGTGATTTATGGTTATCATGTCATCCAAGACTTCAGAATAAATAGATTGCATATGAAATATAATTCTTAGGCATAATTGAAAGAAAAAGTACCATTGTTTTAATTTCTGGGCTCTGAACAATAATTTTTTGAACTGAATTTTAAAAAAAGACTATTCTCTGTATACCTGCAGAGAGCCAATTACTAATGGACTCCAGGTGCTTAGCCACTGACAACCATCAATGTAGTGACTTGACTTCAATTAACGCTTCAGCAGCCCTGGTATGTGACTTGAATATTATTATCTGCATTTATTTTAAGTCTCTACCATACTAGCAAGTGTTATCTTCAAACTCTGTTGTCATAGGTCTATATTTAATTTAACAACTGCAGCAGAATAATGAATTGGAAGTGTAAAGCATCCATTTTGATTTATCAAAAATATATTTATCCTTCTTCCAGATGCCATAGGAATAGAAATGACATGTATTCATTATGATTAACAAGGATACCAGATAAGGAAATTTGTTTTATATTATGTTGGAAATACAATATCAGATTAAAGCAGAACATCATGAATTACACTATATTAAATACTGTAATTGGATATAGGGACCATACCTATCCATCTCACTAAAAAAAAAAAATCACTGATGTGATTAGATCAGAAGGAGATCTTCACTCCTTTTAAAATATGTGCATGAAGGAGAATCATAGAGCAAATTCAGTTTTGTTCTGACATTTGTCTTAGTCAGAAATAATTCCACTGAAATTACGTCATGTTACAATAGTATGAAATTAATTTACTAGAGCTGTGAGAATAAAGACTATTTTTATAAAACTTTCAGGAAAATATTTCATCTAAAATGCAATAACAACTGATAATGACAAAGGATGTTAAACTATTTTAAACTGGAGGTTATTTTTTCACACTGATCCTTTTCTGAGTTGTCTTTGTCCTTTAAATTGTTTCGTTTTTCAATGAAAAAGACCAAAGCCCACTTTAACAAAACACGTGTAGTTGCTGTATTATATTCTCCCCTCACTTTTTCTTACTACTACGATGTTTTTAATGAACTATTTTAAAGGACAAAGAGAACGTATAGCGTGCAAAATAGAGCATTTGTAAGGAGCCTTGTTTTGAACACCTTTAAAACATGTTTTGCTTTGCTACTACAGAAGAATGTAGTGCTCTACAGAGCAAATCCTTACCTGCATTGTGTTCATCCATTGAAAAAGCTTTATTTTCCATGTAGCTCCGAGGAAGCTGTATGTCTTCCTCAAAAGCGGTTTCACGCATCCTTGGCTGTGAAGTATCAAAATAATTGGGTGTGTTTTCCTGTTGCGATGGCAGGATGGTACAGTGGACCTCTGGTATAGCATGAAAAATAACAAACACCCAACCACTGGACACCAGTGCAATAGCAAGAGTGGGATCACTCCATTTGTCTTTTCTGTTTAGTTCAGCGTTACCAAAGAGGTACATAGTCATCCAGGCTACCCAAATCAGAATGGAGAAAAAAAGCGTTATAATGAGGCATACTCCATTTTTCTTCCATTTTTTAAACTTTCCACAAAGAGTGAAAAGAGAAAACCCCATGGTGAACACCATCAGGAACATAACGTAAATCAAAGCCATAGCAAAATCCATCGGCTCGTAGTTGCAGGCCAGCTTGTGATCTCTCACGACGGTCAGTACCAACCACTCCGTCGCAATAATGACTTGCACGAGCATCAGGCAGATGGCCACGCCAGCTAGATGCCAGCCGGATGGACTTTTCCCATGCCGAACTAGTCTACGAAGTCTCCAGGCTTGAGCTAGCAAGCACGAGAAGCACAGAGCAAAGATAACTCCCCACAGGAACCTCCGGGTGGAACACACCGTCTCGTCTTCCTGGATGATGAAAGCGAACGTCAGCCCGAACAGTCCCAGAGTCCCCACAAGGAAGAGGAAGTGCATCCCCAGCGGGCTCTTCTTCTCCTTGTCCTTGATGAAGGGCAGCCTCGCGAGCAGGATGAGCATCAGCAGCAGCGTGGTGAGCGCGCCGGCTCCCGCCACCGCCTCCAGCACGATGCCCCACACGGCGTCCAGGTCGCACAGGTGAACGTACTGCGGCAGCAGGTCCAGGCCGCAGCCGCGCGACGTGCTCGAGTTCTCCGAAGAGCCATAGCTGATCACGAAGAGGAGGCAGAAACCAAGGGCTGGGGAGGTTTTCATTTTCCTGTCTGAGACAATAAGGTGGGTTGATTTAGCTACTGTTCACCCTGGAAGACTTCACAACAATTGGAAATACAGCTCTATTCCCCTTTGCTGCCCTCCCGGAAAGCTACTTTTGTCTCTTGTCATGACTCTTGTCATTAATCAACTAATCAAAAATGAACGACTCATTGTGCCTCTTAACCAATGTAAAGCCATTTGAATGAAACAAACAACAGAAAACAGAGCATCATTTTCCCTGATCCACAGACTGAACGACTGCAAACTCTCCAGGAACAGCAGACTAACCACGGGGACCAAAAGTCTGAACAGATTCCAACTTGGTTTTAGGAGGAATGCAGGTCAAAAAGGTATACATTACAACATATGTGTTTATTAAGCAAATCAGGGCAAAGAATGAGGTCATTAAAAGTACAGTCTTTAAATGAACAACCACCCCAGAGAGAGCTACGTTGTAAGAGCAGTCTGAAGTAAACACAGCCTGTACCAGCTATGAAACCTGATTCTGTTAACCTTCACTTGCTGCTGGTTCCAGGAGGATTATGTGCATTGATGTGAACTGTGTGCCTAGATGAAAATGTTCAGAATTAAGACTTCTGTCTGGCTTGGTATTTTCAAACTGCATAGGAAAAATGCGGCATGTAATCAGGCAACAATGTTACTCATGTAGCTCGTGACATTTAATGTGTCAAGCAAGAAAGAGAAACACTTTTTAGCTCTTCTATGAGTTACACAACCCCAAATAAGTATCTTTAAAAAGATATTTTATAAATTAGAAATGCATTTAATGAAAATACCAAAGTTTCATGCAAGTTGAAAATGGTTTAAAGAAACTATGCAATGTTATTTGCACATGATCAGTCATAACTAACATAAACTATTTACATATACTGTACCAAATGGTACCTAATCTACAGATGAGAGCTATGATTTTTCTTTCTTTGACCTGTAGTCCTGTAATGATCAAAGCTAAATCTTGAGGATCTCAATCTTCCAAACTAATGTTCATTCCCTTTCCCCAAGTAATGAAGAATGTCCATTTATAGGTCTCTGCGAAGAGACAGATGATGGAAATAGCACTGTTTCCTATTTGAGGCACCAAGACAGCAAATGTGCTAATAGAAATGCATAATAGTTTTATGGTTTTCCTGGTCATACAACAGACAAAAAAAAAAAAAGCTTATTACAAAACTTGATCTCAGAAGTGGAAGCTGTGGCAAAAAATGCGATCTGGGCTCACACAAACAGGAAGAAGTCATCAATAATGTTTGCCTGCCCATTGAAATTATAGGGCTCTATCACTCCTCTAGGGGCTACAAGATTCTAACACCGCTGTGACATCCAGCTGTGATTACTGGTTTTCTTTCTACCGAGCTATCTTTTACTTTATGCCGAATTGGTAGCATATTTACTTGTTTATATCTGATTTGTATGACAGGTTTCTCAATGATTCTGTCATACCATTCACTTTAAAAACACAGAGAAACAGAGAAAAAGTAATCGGCCATAGATGATAATCATTTTTTATAGAAAATGGTTACACTAACTAGGCCTAGTTGCCCTATGAGTCCCTAAGTGACTAGAAAGAAACATACTGAAGGTAATTCTCAGTCCCTTAGATGCACGGGCTGCTCTTACTTCAACTATTCTTAGTTTTAAGAATAGCCAAAATGTCCTAAAAAGTGCAGAGTGACCGACTGATAACAGAGGAGGAAGCCCCTCGGCTCCACGCAGGCAGCCCTGCGAACCACAGGGAACTGCTTCAAGCAGCCAGAGGTCGGGGGAAAATCACTCAAAATTCATTCTCGGGCCAGGGCTCCCAGCTCCAAACAAGCAACAACCCTTTAGAGGGGGGCCATAATTTTTGCACTAACAAATCACGATACAAATCATGACTGGGAGGCAATGAATTAAATGCAAGTATTGCCAGTTCTGCGATATTTTCCAGTTTTCTGGTTACTTTATTCATGTCATGTAACCCTCATGTGATTGAGCTATTCTAGGGCAGTCTGTTTCCATGGCGATGGTGCTGCATGGGTAAGCAGTCATATTGGCAGCCCATCATTTGTTTCCTCTTCCTCTTTGGAAGGGGGCAGGGAGGGTCAGCGGATTTTGAGTATTTCCCCCTACAGGAAGGAGGTTCTTCTGGAGAAGGGCAATTCATCTGCGACAAGCTATGAATTCAGGAACGCAGAGGTGCTCAACTGCAGAGGAGTTTTTCTCCAAGCTACTTCCATTTATGAAATTACTTCTAAGAGAACTAATGGAAGTGGAAAGTGGTTCTCTTAGAAAGCTCCAAAATAGCAACAGTATTAACGGAGAAATCTCTGGGAATGCTGACAGGATTTCTTGGTGTGAAATCATATCGCTATCCAATGTCAGTATGCCTTGCTAAGCAGTAAGGTAAATCATCCCAAAGATCCTGTCCACACCAGGGCTTGAAATCTTTCCCAAACCGGGTTCCCAAACCGGACTTAGAGCCTTGCCAGGCTATCACTAAGGCCATGTTTGGGAGCTTGTTTACCATGTGTTTCTGCCTGAGCACGTGAAAAAAAGGCAACATTAACTATCAAACGCCATGATGATGCCAGCCCAAACCCTCTTTCTAGCACAGTTACTCAGCACTGGACTGATACACAGACAAGGGAAATCACTGCATTACAACAGAGAAGTTTGGCAAGGTATTAGCACAGCTTTAGTTGAAACCACAGATTCAGCTAAATTTAAGGGAAATCTAGAAAGTGTTTCTGGCTAAAAAGGCTGTGTGGGGAAAAAGAGTATCAGTATGGGGTTACTGTTAAAACAGTGGTTTCTTCAAAGCTTTTTTTGTTGGCAGAACTCTGAGTATTACTAGTTTTTGTAGTAAAATCTTCTGTCTGCACATAATCAGCAGCTGTCACCTAAATCAGTGACTGTACGAGAATTGTATTTTTGCCTCCTTATGCCTGTATCAGCTTTTAGCAAAGTTATGTAACCTCACGGTAGTAACAAGAGCCCTCTATTTGACCAGCACACGCACTCCTGCTATTACCAAGAGCAGCGCGGCAATAGTGACCAAGAAACATTCCTGTGCGGATGGAGTAAGTGGCACTGACATCCCCAGCATAGCTGCACGGAACAGCTAATGCAGAGGGGAAATCAACTTGAGATTCTTCTCTGTCCACAAATCCTCCTCCAAAATTATATTCCATAACAAAAGGGGTTAAGACAACATACCTGAAACCCAGTTGCAATTAGGGGTTCATAAAAAGAATCAATATGTTTTAGATGCTGCAGGAATATGCAGCAAACAAACAGCAGAGCCACAAATTCAGACAGAGGCCCCAGATCTGCTCCCCATTACACTAGTAATAACTTCACTGCTTTCAATAGAATGAAGTTCCCTATATTGTCTGATTAAGGGACAAAGCAGGAAACGTCACAGAAACAGCAGACACGAAGCTTCCCCAGTGGGTACAATGCACAACTGCAAGCAACTAACCAGGACCTGAAGGTTTCAGAGTTGTCACCAAAAAGTTGTTATGGTTAAAAATCAGTGAGGCTTTCCATAGCTTAAGCCTTCCAAACACTGACTGTAAATACGTCTTATCTAGACAAAAATACCGTATGCTTTTAGAGAATATGAAAAAAATGCATATAAATATGCAACCATGCAACCACGCAAATAATTAAGGTAATGCTATTCATGGCTAGATGTTACTGGTTCCTAATGTTAATCAACTGATACAGGAAGATAAATCCAACTGTGGAGAAGAGAAACAGCCTAGTAAATTTTATGTAGTAAATAAAGCAATAGTAGCGCAAGTAGCAACCTGTTCTGCTGCGCACAGGCAGAAGACGGGCTCATTGTACGGCTTCCAAAAAGCCGCCCCCACCTCCGAGTGTTGTGGCGAGATGCTGGCGATGAGAGGTGAATCACAACACAGGAGCCCTGCCAGCTCCTTTGGATCCCATCAGGACTGATAAGAGAGCAGCACCAGCCAAGCCGGGATCAGGCTGCTGGAGAGACGGCTTTCCAGAATAATAATTAATAGCGGGATTGTGCTTTGTATGCAAAACACGGCGGCGAGTTAGACTTCCTCTACATTATAGCACATACCGCTATTTGCAGCCTCCCTGTTGCAGAAAGCACGACCCCACTCCAGAAAAGACAGGTAGAAAAAGTACTGCTTTTACTTAGACATACTTTGCAATGCTGGATATTTTGTGAGGTGACTTCTCTAAAGCTGCAGAAGCTCCAGATTCCTCTCAGCCACATTCTGTGTTTATCACCCATGCCTAGATACTTGTGATGATCAAACCTGGCACTCGTTACACTACTGATAACAGGGTATTTTTCTTTGCTTTGCTAGCCCTCCTGCTGCCCCTGCTCATGCTGCAGCCCTGTGACAGGCAGGTTTCCTTCTGCTCTGCCCGGACGTGGCGAGGGCCCCTCAGCACGACACTCGCTGGGTAAGTGCTGCGAGCAGCACCGCGGTGCGCAGCGAGGTGCTCAGAGCAGCGTACAGCAAATCCTGTTAGCCTCGGGATAAACATCAGATCAGGTGTAAACAAAGGGTTCGCAGAAGCGCTAAGTCCTCCCCGTTGGGCGTTCGGGAGCTGGGAGAGAGGTATAGGGCATTTTAGTGCTAAGTGGATACGAAAGCGGGAGAGCTGTGCAGCCCCCGGTGGCTCCCCACGGGCCGGGGTCCCCCGTCCAG